ATAGGCTGACTCTGTAAACCGCTTAGAGAGGGCTGAAAGCCCTATGAAGCGGTATATAAGTCCAACTGCTATTGCTATTGCTATAATCTCCCGCAAGAAGAGGATGCAGCCTTCTCTCTTCCTCCGGACTGCCAGGACTTCGGCTGCAGGGGGAGGTCCCGATGGACGCTTTGCAGAAACGCTCCTCCAGATCGGAGAGGGGAGCCAGGCTGAGGCCGAGAGGGAAGGGGAGGAAAGGGAAGGGGCGGCTGACGGACATAAGGGCCCCCCGGGGGAAGCCAGGCAGCGCTCCTGAATCGGGGCTTCTGGACGGAGCGGCCGGTGGTGGAGTGGGCGGCCTTGGGGGACCCCCACAAATCTAAGATTGCGTGATACTTTTTTTCTTTGACAAAAGTCCAAGTCAGCAGAGTTCCAAAAAATTAAAGAGTCGGATTTTGAACATTTCAGCGGCACCGCAACCCCCGCCGGGTTGAGAAAGTCCGCGGACCGGCAGTGGACGCAGTCGGAGAGCCGGCCTCTCTTCAAGCGCAGCGCCCGTGGCGGCCGTCCCTGCACTCCGTCTCCCGTCCTCGCTGCCGGGAAGCCTCCGGCGGCCACGGGTCAAGCAGGCTACGCTTCCCGGGCGCTGCACCGGCCCCCGTCGAGCCCTTACTAAGCCCACCCCGCCCCTCCGCAATTGCAGCGCTGAAATGGGCCTGGGAGCCCCCGGAGGAAGCCACCCCGAGACTGCGGCGGCCTCTTCCTTCTCCAGGCGGAGCCAGAGTCGTCTCTCGCCCTGCACGCCTCGGCCAGGCCGGACCGCCCCAGGGGCCGTTTGGCCGCGCCACTTAGTCCGAGACGTTGCCGGCCGAGAGCCGACTTCCCGGGGGAGACGGAGGCGGAAAGACCTGCTGGCCTCCCCGGATTCGCGGAGCTTCCCATCCCGGCTGGATTCTCTCCTCCTCCCCACTTCCTGCCTTTCCCTCCTGGGACCAAAGCCGCTCTGCCCGGGCCAGGTGTGCTGTGAGCTACGGAAGGCTTCCCTCCGCCTCTCACTGAAGCCCCGCTGCCTTTAGCAAACGTTCCCCTGGGAACCGAACGCCTCGCGGAGGACCATTACTCGGGAGAAGGTCTCTTGGAATTCGGGAGAATTTGCTTCCAAGTAAACCGGGACCCCAAAGGAAGAAATCTGTCTTCGTTGGGGCTACAGTGCATCAGTGCAGATTCCGCGAAGGAAAGCGCCGCTCTGCGGCTGACTGGTTTTGATCCACGCGGCCGTCGGATCTGAGGGAAAACGACGCTGCTGAAACTCATCGGAGCTTGGAATCCCCCACGGACAGAAGGGCTCGGAGGCGCCACGCGGAGCAAACTGGGCGGCGGCAGTCTCGCTTCCCACTCGGCGTCTGTGGAACTGCTGCTGCTCTCGCGTGAACCAAAGGCCCCTCTCCGCCGGGTTAATCTGCCCCCTTGGTGGCTAGAGAGGCGGAGGGGGAGCGGGGCCGGGGCTTAACCCAGAGCGCAGGAGAGGCCGGCAACCAGACCGTCGCGGGAGAGAGCGAGCGAGAGCGACAGCAACGCGGAGATCCCCCAGGTCGGCTGGGACGAAGGCAGGCGCCCAACCCGCTCACCCCGCTGTTGTTTAAAATTAATTTATTTATCAAATATAGCTATTAATATAAACGATAATAACTTTTCGACTGTACAATATTGTACACGGGACGCCGCGCTCCTTCCTCGCGTGGAGGCAGCCAAAAGGCCGTGGCGCCTCCGAAGGGCTGTCCGTCCAGGGCGGCCTCGTCTGGGCAGCGGAGGGCTCCGGGCTGCTCCTGCGGCCGGCCTAGGCCAGGTGGTACATGCTGTAGCCGACGTGCGCGGCCGCGTAGAGCCCGACGGGCGTGACGGGCAAGGCGGCGCGCTGGAAGGGGCCCCCGGAGGCGTAGAGGGAGGCGCCGGCCACGGCCGGGCTGCCCAGCGGGAAGGAGAGGCCGAAGGCGGCGGCGGGCGGCAGGAGCGGCTTGGCGGCCATCTTCAGCTTCTCCAGCTCGGCCTCCTGCAGTCGCTTGGCCTTGGCGCGCCGGTTCTGGAACCAGATCTTCACCTGCGTCTCGGTCAGGCTGAGCGAGCTGGAGAACTCGGCGCGCTCGGCGATGGAGAGGTACTGCTTCTGCCGGAACTTGCGCTCCAGCGCCAGGAGCTGCGCAGTGGTGAAGGGCGTCCGGGGCTTACGGTTCGTCTTGTGCTTGCGGAGCGTGCAGGCCGGCGGGCTGGAGCGCCCTGCGAGGGAAGGAGGGGGGGGGAGAGAGGGGGACAGAGAGAGAAAGGTCGCTTAGGGACAGTCCGACCCACACCGTCCGAAGGCCTACGGCCTCCGCTTTCCCCCCAGCCCGACTCTACCGCGCCTCCCATAAGCTCCGTCCGGGAAGCGGATCAGCCTGCGGAGGCCCCCCCCCCACCCCCCGGGCACAGATCCTGGTTTTGTTTACGTGCAAAGAGCCCCGGGTTGAAAGGCTTCGCGTGCCGCCGAACGTCCCGGAATCAGCGCGATTCCCAGGCGGAAGAATCCTTTGCTTGCGCTTCCCACCTTCTCCAGCCCTGGCTCGGAATCCAAGGGAAATTGCCTGGAGCTGGAGGTCGGAACCCCTTCTGTGATGGAGGCAGGGAATTTCTAGGTGACGGCGGCCTGAGGTTGGAGCGTTAAAAGGCGGGAGGGTCCCTCCGGAAATTCCCAGAAGGAAAAAGGTCAGAGGAAGGGGAGAGCCCGCTTTAGAGAGTCGGAGGGCGGCGTTTTGCAGGCCAAGAGTGTTGGGGCTGAGAGCGCCCGGGCCCTTGTCAACATCTTGGGCTAAAGACTTGTTGCCTTTGGGTGGGAAGAGAGCGGCCCATGGGGAGGAGGTGATGGGGAAAGAGAGCCCCTCTGCCCCCTTCCCTACCTCAGCTTGCCCCACATCGCAGGAAGGAAGGGGGAGCGGGTGCTCCTTCCTTCCTCCACCTGCTCAGGCAGGGCATGGTTACCCTCGCGCAGAACCAGGGAGGAGACCTGCGAGCCAAGAGCCAAGGTGGCGCAGTGGTTAAATGCAGCACTGCAGGCTACTGCTAGATCAGCAGGTCAGCGGTTCAAATCTCACCGGCTCAGGGTTGACTCAGCCTTCCATCCTTCCGAGGTGGGTAAAATGAGGACCCAGATTGTTGGGGGCAATATGCTGACTCTCTGTAAACCGCTTAGAGAGGCCTGAAAGGCCTATGAAGCGGTATATAAGTCTACTGCTATTGCTATTATTCTCCCCGCAGAAACTGTGCCTGGAAAGGGCGGATGGGATCTCTGGCTTTGATCTTCCTTGGGATTATCAATAAGAGACAGGTACACGGGATTCACTCTGGATCTTAGTCCTGAGCAAGGGAGGGATCCACTCCACTTACACGGAGAGAAAAACTGGCAGGAGTGCGATTGTCCCCCCCCCCCCCATCCTGCACTCCAGAAATCCCACAGAGGCTTTTTTTTATCTCAAGTGGCAACTGGACTCTCTGGTTTTCCTTTGAAGGCGTTTTGCTTCTCATCCGAGAAGCTTCTTCATGAGAAGTGAAAGGTCTTCAAAGAGAAAGCAGAAAGTCCAGTGGCCTCTTGGGGGGGAGGGAAACCCACCTTTGGCACAACCATGACCCGGAGAATCTCCACACACAGCCTTTCCTCTGGAAACAGCCATGGGGGGAGGAGAAAACCAGAAGGAATTGAGAGCTTCGTTCCTAAGGCATTTTTCTAAAAAGCCTCAATGCTGTTTCATAAAACCTCGGTTGGAAAAGGGGCTGCCAAACTCCTTTTGGATAATACGGCCTTATCCATCCAGCAGGAGCCAGTTTTGCTTAATCTTAATATAGTATTTATTGTCATTGTACAAAATAAATACAACGAAATTGGTTTATGCCCCGTATTTTGTTTCGCTATTCCAGGCCAGGGGAATAAGACTCTCCTTTAATTTCAGCTGCTGTTCTTCACCGATTTCTACTGATTTTCTTCCCTGCCATTTAATTCTGTCCAAAGCAGGAGAGAAACTCATCCACCTAAGCAGAAAATAACCGGAAGGCTACAAGAAATAGTTCTGAGGACCTCCGGCAGGTAATTTGGACGCCCCGTTTTCTTTTCTCTTTTGAAAAAGTTTTTTTCCTCTTCCATCAACCTCTCTTGCACCATTAATCTTACAGTGTGTGTCGCCTGGGCGCGGTCTGTCTGTCATCCTATTTAACAGTTACAGCACCTTTTTCAAACTAAGGCACCGGCTCAGGGCTGGGGAATCGGGCTGTGTGGGCACAACACAGGCAGGTATTCACCCACACCGTCTCAGCCGCCAGGCCCAGGAGGAGCAAACGGTGCTAGCTGGGCTTCTCCCCCTTCTCGGAAATCCTCGGCAGCCTCCCTGACTGACGGGGGCTCAGGGACCTGTAGGGGGAAAGTAGGGGAAAAGCTCCAGCTCATGGGGGGCTGGAGAGGCTGCTGGGTTTCTGCTTCTCATAGGAAGGGGCTGGGCAGATTCCGATCGGGTCCACTGGCTTGTGGAGGGGGTGCGAGGGCTGGGGAGGGGTTGCACAGCTCTGAGGCAAGCAAGGGGCCATTTCCTCCAGTGGAACCTCTCCCTGGCATCCGTCTGGGAAGAGCCTTCGGGTGGGAGTGGGGTCCACCCAAACCTTGGAAGGAACTCTGGGCTGGGGAGAAGCAGGGAGGCAGCAAAGGTCGAGTCAAGCATTGGGGCAGCCGGAGGGTCCTCGGAGCCCAACAGGACGTTTAGCCACCGCTTTGGTCAGCAAGGCGCCTGCCCAGGACCCCAGGCCTTTCCGCAGGGGAGCTCCCGGGGCACCTCGCTTGTGGGCGGACTGAGCTACGGGAAAAGGGGGCCCTTCCTCTGCAGACCAGACGAGGAGCGCGGAGGGGGGGGGGGCTAAGGTGCCTGCAACCGGACTGGCAATCGCGCAGGAAAAGGACCGTGCCGAGTCCCCCTGGCGCCCCGCGAGCATCCTTCAGCCGAGTTGGAAGCGGCTTCCCCCGACAAAGGAGTCCCCGCTGTAGCGGCGGCGGCCGAGGGCTGCTGCCCAGCGGTTTCGGCCTTGGGCGCCCTCCCGGCGGTGGCGGGGCGAGGCGCGGACACGGACGGCGAGGAGGGGGCTTCCCGGGGCTGCTGGCGGCGGGGCCACTTACTTGGCGGCGACGGGGAGAAGCGGCGGGCGGGCCTCCAGGGCGAGCGGTCGGCCTTCTCGGGGCTTTCGGCCTTGACCGGAGCTTCCTCGGGAACTTTCACGAAGGCTCCGACGCCGAACGGGCTGGGCAGGAGCGGGGGCGAGGCGGAAGCCCCGGCCGGTCGGGGACTGGGGGCTGCCGGCGGCTGAGCCGCGAGCCCTCCGCGCTCCGCCAGCCCGTCGCGGGCCCCGCTGCCGGTTTTGCGGGGCTGGGCCATGAGCGCCTCCACGCTGAAGGGCAGCAGAGCCGCGCGAGGAGGCTTCTCGCCCTCCTCCTCCTCCTCCTCCTCGCCCCGCATGGCGCCCCCGGGGACCGCCTTGCTGCGGGCCTGGGCCGCCGGCTCCTCGGCTCGGGCTGCGCACTGCACCGAAGTCATGGCGGGCCCGGGGGCCATGCGGCGGCGGCGGCGGCGGCTCGGGGGGCGCGCATGGAACGGGCCAGGGCGACGGCGCGGGCGGGACCGCGCGCGGCTGCTCTCCGGGACACTTTTCGCGGCGCGGCTAATAAAGCGAGGCGCCTGTCCCGGCGGCCAATCCGCGCGCCGAGGGGAGGGCCTCCGACTTCCCATTGGACGCGGCGCGCGGCGAGGGCCCCGGGCGGGGAGGGCGGGCGGCGGCCTCGGGCGGCGCGTCTTGGCCGGGAAGAGGCGGCGGGGCCGACCGGCCGGCTGACTCGGGGGACGCGGGCGCCGCGCTTCCGACGGCCCCTTTCTGGACTTTCTCCGGGTGTTGCCGAACGGAGGGGTCGCTGCTTCCCCGCCAGACCGGACCTGCCGCTCCTGGTGGCCGTTCCTGGCCCGGAATGAAACGCCCCGAGCAAAGGACGTTCCTTTCACGGGATTTCCTGGAGCGAAAGCCCCGTCGGCGGCCTCGGGGACTCCCTTTCACGCAAGTCCGGGAGCTGAGCTGCCAATTGCCGCAGATCCGCCATGAGCGATGGAGTCCGTCACGCCTACGAGGCCGGCCTTCCACCCCTCCCAGCGACCCTCCTTTGGGCCGGGCTGAGTGCGGGGCAATCGCGGCTCTCTCCCAAAGCCCTCCTGGCCGAATATCTCGAGGGGTCCGGCGAGACCGCGATCGCAGCTCGCTCCACTCTTTCCGCCGGCGGCCCGGGGCGCCTTGTAGGGATGCCGCCTGCGGCTCAGGAAAGGGAACGGGAGCTTCAGGGCCGCCGCCGCCGCCGCAGCGGAGCGTATCAGCGCTAGTTCGCAGCCGATTGTCCTGCCTGCGGCGACTTCCGTCCCCACACCCCGCCCTGCTCCCTCCGGCGCCTCCAAGCTTCCAGCGGGGTCCCATAAGGGCCCCCAGCCGAAGACTTCGAGCTGCCTGGCCGCCTGGGTCCGTCTCTCCACCCCCCACCTCCAGCCCTCGAGCATGCGAGGAACGAGCATCCCCGCGCTTGTTCCCCGCGATTTCTTCTCGGAGGGGAGGGGGAGGCGCTGCCTCCGCGCTTTCTTTGGGAAGCCAAAGGGGTTTCGGTGAACTTTGTTCCAGATTTGTTGAAGCATTTGTGGCACCTTGGTCGGCAACCGTCTCCAGCGGCCTCGGGAATTTAGTAGCCGTCGGTGGGCGATCGCATTAGCTGCATCTGCATTAGGTCGTGCAGAGAAAGCGCCGCCCGGAGCCGTTTTGCGGATCTTTGATTTGGGGGTCGAAAAGGTGATTTTGAAAACAGGTTTTGGTGAGAGTCTCCCCTGGAAAACGGGGCGGGGAGGGATCGAGCAAGGGCCAGAAGGTGCCAACCCCCCCTGGTCTGCCCTTCCCGCCCCTCTCCTCTGGCCTGGGCAAGCGGCTCCTCCAGCCACCACCCGCCTCCCACGGAAGGGACTGGGGGTCGCGGGAGCGCAGGGCGAGAGGACTCAGCCGCAGCGTCCCCGTGGCCGCTGGCGAGGCCTCCTCTTTTCCGCGCGTTCTGCGAGCGAAGGCCGCCTGTCCTTTCCGGGAAGCAGCCAAAGGCAGGCAACCCCCATCCTCACCCCCCCCCCCGCTCTCTAGATCTCTGCCTCTCCGCGACGGATCAGGCCCTCTGCCCCTCCCAAAGCCGCCCTCCCGGTCAAGGGGTCTTGGGTTAGAGCGGGGGCGCCTCTGGGGATTCAGGAACTCTCCCCCGCCGAACGAAGCGCTGGAGCTTCTCAGAGGACAGAATTCCTGTCGTTCCGAATCGAGGAGCTTCTTCCTCGAAGGCTCCAGATCATCCATCGCTCCGGCGTCTGTCGCACTGAGAGTCGCCGGTGGGTCAGAGGCTAACGGCTCCTCCCGCCACCCACCCTCAGGCTGGCTCAGCCTTGTGGGCGAAGGAAGGCGCTTTGCCTGGCCTAGAGGCAAGGCGGTGGGGCTGGGGAATCGGGGCCATCTCGTGCGCCCCCTCCCAGCTTCTATGCAGAAGGCCTCCTTCCAAGCGAGGATAGCCTCGGAGACCCTGGGTCTCTTCTGTCCCTCCGGCCGCCCCTCCGCGGGTTCCCTCTGGCGGCGCCGGGCCTTTCCACCTGCCAGAGCCTCCGGGGGGGCTTCTTTTGCGGCCCGCTTCCTTTTGTGGGGCTGGGGCCGCGGCTGCGGGCAGTCCCGGAGACCAGAAAAGCGGCCGCCCCTCCTCTCGTGCTCTGCGGAGGCTTCGGGGCCAGAAACCCCGGCGGCCTGCCACGGAAGACTGCAAGCATTTGGAGCGGCGGGAAAAGAAAACGCCTGA